TTGAGGGATCCGAAATTAGTGGTATATTTTTAGATGCTGAAATTTGTATCAAATTTCTAAAAAATTATTTATTACAGTGTATAATATTAATATATAAACCGACATCAAACTTATCAAAAATGTAAAAAAGTGATGCCCTTGAAGAGAGAAAACGGTGTTAGACTGATCTTGAATCAAAAGCGTATATGTAACCATTCCTTTAGGTTCTTTTGCTTCTTGAGTGGTAATTGCAAAAAATTAGATTTTTATCATTTGTTTATTTCTACGCTTAGAAGTTTTAACCTTTGCTTGATTTGAAGTCTTTAAAAAAAATTGAGTTTTGCGGGAACGGTTGCCTTCCAAAAATTACTTGGGCTCTCTTTACCCTTGAATTGTCAGTGGTTTGATCTCTTTTCTTTTCCACCAGACAGTTCATTTGAAGATGCTCTAACTGTCTACATTTGTAGTACTTCTCGGAACCCGTCAAACACTATCCAAAATGTATTTTTTTTACATTTCTCGCATTGGTTTTTCTTACTAAGGATGTTTATGCTTACCTGTTACTTTATTTTTATTGCTTTGAAAATTTTCTCTTTTGCCAGAATCTTTTTTTTTTGTCTGAGATTACCATCACTGACAGTAAAAGTTTAGCTAGTTTTTAATTCGTCAGGATCTTTAAACTAGCACTGAGAAATCACTGATTATGAATGGCGCCAACGCCTACCTCAACTGATCTCTGAGGCCGCATAGAAATCTATAGATTTTTTTTTTCGTTATATCTAGAAAAAAAGTAAATTTTGCCTTATATTGCATAATTATTTGGGTCATCTGAGATATATTGAAGAATTTATCTTGTAGTGCTAATCTGGTTGAAGGTAGAATAAACCAATCTTTGAAGACTTTGACAAAATCATTCCACTGAATTTATGAAAGAGGTGTGGGTTGAAATTTCTCTCTATGTTATACCTGCCACTATCTCTCAACATCATATTCTAACATGAAAATGGCTAGCACCACTCCTACTTTTCGGATAAATCATAACATCCAAAATCTTCCTGATCTTCAAGAGCCAATCTTCAACTATGCGGTTGCTAGCACCTTTGAATGCAGCTTTTTTGAATGTCTAAAAGATCTTCAAACCCCTTTCATGTTCTTCCCCAAATTCAGTTCTAGACCATCTACTTGAGGATGATCTTTTAATAACAAATATTTTGTCAAACACTTGCGATATCAATTAAACAATTTCATGTAATTCAGGGACTCTAATCTCCTCATTTGCTATGTTTTAATTTTCATTTATGTTCAAGGCATTTTCAACTTGCATTTCTTACTGTTTAATTGACCTCTGAGATTGGTCCTCAGTATTTTCTAATTTTCTTTGAGGCATAATCATCTATATTTGTTTAATTTAACTATCAAATGCAATTTATCATATAGTAATTTTGTCATGCATGCATGATACCCTAAGTCATATAGGTTACCAATCTTAGATCCATCAACCTCCAGTTCTTTATAAAATAATTCATATTTGATTTTTCTTTCATCTTCTAAATCTGACATGATTCCATCATTCTTTTCATCCAACAATTATACTCTAATATCACTTTCTGTCACATCCCAACTGACCCTCCCCCCTCTTAAAAGTTAATTGAGATGCGACTGAGGCGTACGAGTGACAAACTAGTCTAACTAAATCATCACAATCATACTTGATATATTTCATTTCATAATTCATTCATAGTTACATATATTTGAAATCGTAGAAATAATATCATTAAAACAAATAAAATCTATACAGAATTGTTAATTCCAACATAATAAGAGTACGCACCCAAACATTGATGCGAGCTCTCAAAACTGTGAAGTACAAAAGTTGTTCAAGTCACACCTAACTGCTCGCCCTGATACTCCTTACCTCTTCTTGAAAGTTAACAACGTAGAATAAGTAAAAATGAGCTCAGTGACATAATCAAAACTGAAATAAGATTTTAAGGACGAAAAGAAACGTGCATGCTTGTATTTAATCTAAGTATATGTCTACAACACACGACACAACATGCTATAAACATATAAAATATGAAAAAAAAATGCATGTAATGTAGAAAATCATGACTACTGTATAAAAGATATATTTATCCATTCATGTATAATTATATGCATGTAATTATACATTCATACGAGTTATTAATATAATCATAAGAGTATCATTTGCAATTATATAGGTCTCAACTATTCTCATGTCATGTCATGTCTTTGGTTTATTACCCAGCCTAAAAACTACATTAACTTTTGATATATGTTGATTTCCTCATAACATATCAGTTATCAATGGCCTCCATGATACCAACGGTTTTCTATGTTTCGTCATCATCTTATACTTATGATTCCGAGAGTTTTGTCTCCGTTTTAATACCAAGAGTACATAATCCAATCGATCTCTATCTTCTGTACTTACAGGTATTTATGCGATAGCCTACCTATAAACATTATTTGTGATATTTTTTAAAACATAATTTAAGTAACAAGCATTTATTATAGGTATTTTATATTTCATATGCATGAATCATATTAAATAAATATCTATAAGCAATAATTTCATAAGCATGTCATTAGATTCTCAACATAGTAAAATCATGTATTGTAAGTGACATCAAGTTTGTTTTCATATAATTTACGCAGGTATTCATCAACAAGATGCAGAATATTCTATATGCAATAGTGTTAAATTCATAATCATATGGACCTGTAGAGAATTATTTTCTTAAGTTAGTACATGATTATTTAAGCTGAATTGGCAGAGTGACTCTACAACGAGTTTCTTCAAGCTTGCCTCGAGCTTGTCGCCTAGCGTAAATAACCATCCATTATATATA